TATATATCTTACTAATTTTACTATATTTTGATTTGATTTCTTGTGCCATTTCAAGAGAAAACTTCAGGGAGACATGCATGTCTGAAAAAGTTGCGCTGAAATAACTGAATTCCCCGTAATCACTAATAAACTTGAATGTCCCACGAGAGGGGACATCCGAGTGATATGCTAGAATTACGATGTCCCACGAGAGGGGACAGCGGAGTGTAAAGGGTTAAGAAAACCTGTTTCGCTGTCAGTGAGTTCAGTCTGAATTTCGTTCAGGTTCGCTTTCCATGGAATCTATCGCAGCTGTCAACCTTGAACTTTTAGAGCGTCTAGTAGAGTAGAAGAAGTTGTACGATTCTAGGAATCCGCGGGCCTTTGTTCGCGCTTATCTTCGGTTGCCAATCCGGCTGTTGGCCGAGTAGAAAAAAAGTCTTTGGATAAGTCACGTATCACCTTTAACCTTTTAGGCAGGACGCGCCACTATAGTGGCTTTCGCGGATATCATCTTTTAGAACGACACGCCACTATAGTGACTTTCGCGGATGTCATCTCTCTGAACGACGCGCCACTATAGTGGCTTGCTCTGGTAGCTCACTCGCTCATCGTTTGAACCAAATAATCGTCTTCATATGCATTGTTTCACACTTCCTTTGTCTTCGCATCGATTTACAACAGTCTACAGGGTGTTCCAAAAATGTCTCGCAATCCGGAAATGGCGGGTTCCTCGGATCATTTGAAGCAACTTCTTCCTTTACAAAAATGTTCTCCGAGGCACCGTTAACGAGTTATTAACGAAAAACAATGACCAATAAGAATCGAGTACGGCTGACGCGAGGCGGTCCAGCCAACCAGCGCGTGAAGCCTAGTTCCGCTCATTGGTTCGATCGTCTCGCCAGCCGAGCTCGCCTCTCATTGGTCACTGTTTTTCGTTAATAACTCGTTAACGGTGCCTCGGAGAAAATTTTTGTAAAGGAAAAAGTTGCTTCAAATGGCCCGAGGAACCTGCCACTTTCGGATTGCGAGACATTTTTGGGACACCCCCTATATATACAGTATCAGACTCTGTACAGTACATATCAGACTCTGCCGTCCAGAGAAAATAGCCTCGCGCAGAATTCAGCCGTACCTAAAAGGTTAACAACAGTAAACACGCACATTTCTACACGATCAGTCGAATGTTTACTGACAGAGGGGGACAAAATAACCTTGACAGAGAGGAACACAAACATGAAAAGTGTTTAACGTAATTTCACTCGAATATGTCGACGACGACGAATATGTAGAAAAAATGTGAATAGAAATAGCGAAGAATGGATACAAAATTCCAAAGTTACATTCCTTTGTGAAACATACTGTCATACCTCTTTAACTCTTTGAGGCGCGGCGGAATTAAAAATGTCCCATCTTTTTGATGCACGGTAATGCACGAATGAGACATTTTTATAGAATAATATATTGCAATAGCTGCAAGCGCGTTCATGAACCCATGTGGCACGGTGGGACTATTTTGGAGTCCTACTTTAGCTTATTAGTTTGTTTGCAAACTAATAAACAGCAGAAGGTTCGCAGAAAGCAAATCGCGATCAATGGCGTGATGGTCGAACGCACGAAATCACGTAGTTGTAAAGACGAAAATATTTTACCGTTACATTTCCGCTGATAAAATATTCAGCGCGTCGGCATAATTTTGCTTAAAATTCTTCGGGGAAAAGAGATAGAAGAAACGATGGCCACTCTCGATCCCGCTAGTTCTACGATCCGCGTGATTTCTAATTGAGGAAAGTCGCCCGAGAGGAAGATGTCCGAAGTGGTGACGGAAACCGTCGTGAACGGTAAGAAATTGTCGTTTCTGTCGCGCTTACGTTGTTACGCGTTAATTAATCCTGGTAACGGACTAATTTCCCGTGACGCAAGTCCATTATCATTCTACCATTGAACACGCCATTGTTACTCGGTATGCGTATTTGCTCGCTATATACAAGTTTCCTGGATGTTTTTCGCTCTACGAGCATAGCATGTGCCGTGTTCCCGTTGGGAAGATGGGCGTTCATTAGCATATTAAACAAGCTATACAGAACTGTTTTCTTTGCTAAGTTATCCGCTCGCAAGATTTTTATGTATCGTAATTAATAGAAGCACGTATATAGATTTTAATGTATCGTAATCAACATAAATAAATATATG